ATGATCCGTGTCAAATGTTCTTATTTAAGCTCTGAAGATAAAAATATCTATTAAGCTGGAAAATATCACAGTTAATCAACGATATAAGTAAACAAATTTTATTTTAAAACACAATTAATGTGAATGAATAATATTCTTTTCTAAAGTTCGATAATGCAATGAGAAAACGAAGTTTATCAGAATTAAGTGATATATTTGCGCAATACATTTCAAACAATCTGATCACACATATACTTGTTAAGAACATTTATATATGAAAATTAAAAGGTCAACTAGACAGGTTAAGGATCGGGACATCTCAGAGGACATAGCAGGCGAGTAGAAAAGCCAAGAACGAACAAAATACCCGTGGCATACAGGTTTTCACACCGAGTCATCAATAATTGGAATCTGCTGCCTGAAGCAGTGGTGTCCGCACCTTCAAATGATTCTTTCAAGAGAAGACTGGACACTCACAGAAGCATACTAGAAAAGGAATAACATAGGCCGTAGGCCTTCTGTCCTTACCACACAAATTTGAATCTATAAATTCTCTTCAGGTTTTACAATTATCTCATATCCAAATGAATAATTTAAATAGTGTCCAGGTTTAAGGTAAAATATATCATTTGAAACTATGGCATGTGAATTTAGGATAAAATAAAACTACTGTTGACAAATGTTCCATTCAAGCAGACTGTCAAATATATCTATGAACAACTTAGAGAACAAGAGATAGAGACTATAATCCTAATAGACATCATTAAGGAATAGTTACTAAAGTGTGCTATGAGTGCAAAACTGAAATTCAGTAGTGAAATATATATAGACAAATAGATGGTTTCGCGATGGGTCCACCACTAGACCCCATATTAGTTGACATTTTTCTCATTAAACTGGAAAATGGTCCACTAGCACAGCATACTAACAAGTTTTCATTTCACTGCCGATATATAGACGATATGTTCATCTTTTTTGACGAATATACTGATCGGATAGAGAAATTCAAGAGAGTTAATGAAACTGATCCGTCTATTAAATCCACATATGAGAAAAAATAGAGGTAGAATAGCCTTTCTAGATGTTCTACTTGGAAGGAGAATAAATGGGTCACTAAAAAGAAACCTAAGAAAGGAAACTACTTGGAGTGGACGATATAAAAATTTTCTTAGTTTTGTCCCTCTATAATAATAATAATAATAATAATAATAATAATAATAATAATAATAATAATAATAATAATAATAATAATAATAATAATAATAATAATAAAAGGAGCCTGATTAAAACACTTCATGATAGAATTAAGACCATATGCTCCCTAGATGAGTCTGAAAAAGAGACAGAGACATTGCGTGTTTCTCTACAAGAAAATGGATATCCGGAGAAATTTACAGGTAAACATTTAGTCATGAGAAAAGACATTGAGGAAGGCCTAACTGGGAGCAAAAAGCCCCTTTATATACGCTTAAATTTAGAGGCGATGAACCCAGAGAAATGGTGATACTGATGTTGCATAGAGCAATCCAAAGGGCCTTTAATGCTGGCAAATTGCAATTAATTTCTTTTCACATGTCCAATGGTCACTCAGAGATTGAAAGATAAATTACCTAGACTATCCAACTCCTACTTTATCGATCAATTCAACTGATCTTGTGGAGTAAGTTATATTCGCAGGTGTTCTAGAAATTTCTATTTTCGTGCTCGCGAGCATCTCCTAGTTTGGTTAAGCAAAGGTATATAGTTAAAACTGTTAACAGCTCCAATTTAGCTCATTTAGTGCGAACGGGCAATCATTTACAACAACATAACGTGCTAACAACAATCTGTCTAAATACGTCAGACTAAAAACCCCTCGAACGGCTGAAGCAATAGCTATTCGGATAAAAAAAACTGGAGTTATGCGTTCAGAAGAAATATGTTCAACCGCTCCTTCTACCCTAGTCAACTTCTAGTCGAATTAATTAATAATCATTTTGATGATATAGTAACATAATCCGATTAATGCTCATACAACCTTCCTCTATGCATTTTCATAGCTTAAACTTATTTTAATCGCACATTTTATTATCATTATCATCACTGTTATCATTGTTATTATAACACATGAAAATTCTTTAAGAAATTTATTCCAACATCTAACCGTATTTATTAATTCATACCTAAATTCACATGATCATTTTGAATATCACCATCTCATGTTAACCATATCTATTTTAATCATTTATCTCACAATTTAATTTAACTTATGAACTTATTCAAATCAACATATCATATCAATAATCCGAACATTAAAGGTTTTAGTTTATAGGACAAACAACAATCTTTGATTCGTATACTATAGTTTTAAATGATGTATTTTACCTTAAACCTGGATACTATTTAGATGATTCAAATTTGATATGAAATAATTGTAAAACCTGAAGAGAATTTATTGTGTCTTAATATGATGGGAATGTTTCAGCAACAACATTGAAATAGCCCGGTGAAATGTTTCATGATACTTTAAAACGACTTGATTTTAAATTATTTTTTTTTACTTAAAAAGGAATAAGAACAAAGGAAATGAAGAAAGAAAAACAACAACAACAAGCATGACCTGAACAGTTTAAAGGCATCCAAACAAGAATGTCATGATTACATTTATATATAATACAAACTAATGGGTAAGTACATCATAATAAACTGATTAATGATTCATATTAAATATTATGGAAGATGAAAGAATGACATTAAAGCCTTTTACTATTTTATTTCAATATTATAAAGTAATTAAAGGTAAAAGAAATGCAAATAATATTTTGTCCATCACAAATTGTGATTGATAGTTAAGTGTTTTATAAACATGTTTCCAATGAAGAGACCTTTTCAAAAAACAACGAAACACTTTGATTTATACTCTAAGGTTTCCAACAGTTGTTTTCTTAGTTTCTGTTTACAATTTATTTGTAAAGCCTAATTACTGAATTTTCTTTTCACCTTGGGAGAAATGGTCGATGATATTTGAATAACCTATTTGTAATCAAACAGTAGAGGATTAGCGTTCCTATACTTAAGGTAAACAGTTCATCTCTGGGTAACAGATAACTATATAATAAACTTTCTTCACAGATGTTTCAACAATGACCTTAACGGAAAAAATTTTAATGAGCGAAGCAAGATTCAACAACTCTGCGCACTTCCGTTTTTGAGTTATGTGAACCACTCAATTCTTCGAATCACCGTACAAATGTACTTATCTTCCAATCTCTTCAACACATTTTTTGAGCCGTTGGAAAACAATAATTAAAACTGGTAAGCCTTTTGAAACTTTAAAGGTTTATATTATTTAGATTAGTCTTTGTCAGCATATCTAAAAATACATCCCACCTACATCAATCAACTTGACCATAAATACAGTAAGTAAACTTGTAAGTCTTTTATTAACGCTTTCTTACCCTCTTATTTGGTCAGTCTATAGCTATGTGAAACAAATCGCTCACTCACATAGTGTGTTTATTCATCCATCATGTTGATTAAAACTGCGTGATTCATCAAAATATAATATACACGTGGACATATATACCAGATGCGTGGTGAGATAACTTAGCCATAACGCTAAGTAGGTACATGTAATTGGAAGGGAGTCAGAAGGCTTGACTTAGTCTACATATAAGAGAACGGAACAGAAACACACCTGGGAAAATAAGTCAGTCAGTTAGACATGAGAAACCCAGAACCTAGAATCAGTCCAATTTGTCAAACCACAATAGTACGGTGGGATTAAATTGCCTAGATGGAAACTGTAGTAAAACCAGTAGTTGTAAAGGTTAGACATACGCAAAATGATTGAAGAAAAAGCTGATTCACAGAATACAAGTTATGAATTCTGAAACTCAAAAGAAAAGGGAGGAAAGTGAATTTATCTTCACAAATGTGACCTATTCTGAGTCATATCACGCATGGTCTCAAACCAATGGTCACGTCAATTTAGATGACCCCAAAGATGCATTCTGCACCCATCGACAGGGTCCAGATCAGTGGCCGATGATTTCATGGACTGATTCTACATTTTGGTTTGGCTTCCTCTAGCTTTCTTTCAACTTACAGCTACATCTATCAATATATGGTGTGAAGGTAGGTGGTGTTCGGGAATACTATATATATATATATATATATATATATATATATATAGCATTCTAACCTGCTTGGTCTTTGAAGTCCCATAAACATGTCAACTGACTAAGCATTTTTTCTCTAGTACCCTGCAACTGACTTTAACAATAGCTCGCTCAGTAGTCCTAATATAAGAAAGAAGTGCTTCGAATACACCTGTGATCAAATGCTAGTAACCTACGAATGTCCTCTACTTTTAAAAGCTACGTTCCACAATACAATACTATGGCGTATACTCGTCCTTTGATTGGTAAACGAACATTTCGCCCACGTCACTGATGGCTTAATTCGTCAAAAACGAAGAAATTTTCCGAAATTCCTGTTAAGATTTCGTTATACATTAACTCAGCAGTACTGTCAAGGCTTCCACGACAAGTGGAGTGGTCAACGAACTCAACTACTTCATTCCACGCTATCACTGTGAGACGACAGATTTCCTAGTTTATTCTATTGTAAATAGGTTCATTAGCAAAAATCATTCAAAAATAGTTATAATTACTGAAATCAAAGCTGTAAATCTAAGACACTTAAAGCACAACTTATATCAGTAAGTCAGTAGTAAAGCATCATAATGTACGTCATAATACATGTATATTTTGTATTTTTTAAAAACGTTTGCTGATGTAACTTCGTTTATTGAGCAAAAAAACAGGTAAATCAAATTTTCAGAAATATGCTAAATGTGTTGGCATAAAAAAATAGAATTATCTGTAGTGGTTCAATCCGCGAAAGGCTAGAGAAGCTAATTGGATAAGCATTAGAGTTTACAGATAGAAATAATCAGAAACTGACGAAGACAGGAAACAACAAAACACATGACAATAGTTGAAAGACAAGTAATGAGGTCACTCATCTCGTTTATTCTCTCAGTCTAGTAACCAATGTCCGCATTTACGAGTCCATTCTACGGCTAGAAATAAAGCTCCTGTTGCTGGAAATGTTCTCAATAATGTTGGGCCAAGACCACGATAAAGTGAACGAATTCCTGTAAGATAAGAACGAATTGGTATGCATTAGGACTAATTTTATTACACCGGAAAACGATAATTTAGTATTTTAAGATAAACAGCCTGAAGTAATTAATGCAAATCATTCACAGAAATAAAAGATTGGAAACAACTATGTTTACCTTGACTGAAATAAGTGTGAGAGGGGTGAAATAACACCCAAGACTTTTAATTGCTTGGACTACTGCCCTGAACAAGCTATTTCTCATTTTAAAGGCTTGTACTCTGGTTTTTAGAATAAGTGAATAAAATGAGTAATTATAAATATAAGCGATACCTTGTTTTGCCAAGTTATTAATGTAATGTGAGCAAGCATCTAGTTTCAGAAAATAACACCTCTATCTACATGGTTACTGTATGCAAAAAATATGGGATAATAAAACAATAGGCAGTTACCTTCGTTTCTCTTGATGTCTAACAGGACAGAAAACATGCTTTTTTGTTTACTGACTTTGTTTCCATGAGAGATTGAGGATGACGTGACAGTATGATGTCCGATTTGCATGCGAGACTTAACAACATCGAATGGAAATATCGCCACCCACAGTGAAACTCCACCTATTCCGCCAGCGATAACAGTTTTAATAGGACCCAAATCTTCTTTACGTCCATTAGTAGGAGTCATCAATGTTCTACATGCTTCGTACCCACCAAAAAAGAAGAAATAACCAGGCATTTCCCTGGCAAATGTAGCACCTAAACCACAAGTAAATCCTTTGAAACCTTTTTCTTTGTATATTGACTTTGTTACTGCCCATGGACCTCTACAACGAAATTATAGTAGTATAAATGATAAATGGGCACAACGCGTTAGTTTAGTGACGAGAACCAACAAAATCAATCAACTTGATTACTTACTCTTGCAGTTGTACGAACTCTGGTAGAGGAATAAGTTTGGAAAAAAATAGTGTGGATTGTTATTATCTACAGTGTTTGTCATATATTGAATCAATTAAATAGATCTGACCTATGATAGGATAACGAAAACAGTTACCAACGCTTTTACTATATTAAATATGTCCATTATTAGTGAGAAATAGTACGAATATTTGTTTTCCAATAGCTAGTTGTATCCGCTAAATATTTGGATGATACCATAACTATCATTCTAAGTAGGAAGAACCACCTGATCTGGAAACTAGCATTTGGTTAAGGCACTAAATATCCTTATCAGTTAATTACATAAAAATGATAAATTAAATGTGGTTCACGAAAATAAAAATGACTAAGAAGTTTACCACGGTTTATTTAACATGAGACCAAGGAACAGTTGTGAGAGAACCTACGTTCATGAATACTGGCAAGGTAAAATAGGTTGATAAGTATTTCAAAATATAACAATACGAGGTATCGATTAAGTAAGCAATGAAACAAAATACATTGCCTGAAATTTAGAAGAGTCAATCCAAAAGAAACATAGCCCGACCGTAGCTGCTTTTTAGGATCGCCTATTGTGAGGACTCGAACCAGCTATACTGGCTGGAATACATATTTCTTTTGGCTTTACCTTACCAAGTAGGTTGATTGCAGAATGGTAAGACTAAAAACAGTAACTTAAGGCACGAGGACAAAGTCGTACTGCTGATTGTGGAGGGATGCAACAGCAGCATCAGCAGTGCTGCCTTCTCACAACGGAAGGGAAGGGTCAGAAAAGACCAACCATATAACTGTCCCATTTCACCGTGCCCCACGGATTTTCGTCTCCGGGGGTAGGGTCTTGTAAAGTGAGGAGCTAACACATCGGGAACTTCGCATAAAAAAGGCCGTGCGCGACTGACCTCAAGCAGTTGTCTCTTAAGTTGTATCGTCACGCTCCCAATTCGCTGATGCCACCACTAATTCAGGTTCCTTTTCGGGTCCCTCAAGAAGAAATATCCTTCTACGGTGTAGGCAACCGGGGAGTGGAAACCACCTCCACGTCTCTATCAGCATTCGAAATCGTCTTGTTGACGATCAACAAAGATAAGTAAATTACAGTAAATAAAGTGACTTTACATTTTCAGAGAAATGGCCGAAAGCTAAATTCTATGATGACTGTCTTGATTTCACAAATGTAAATAATTTTCTAAAATTCAGGTTAGTTCACTTCACTGTGAATCAGACGAGTTTTAGCAGCTGGTTTCCAAACCTCTTGAAAGGATAGTTCATGCATAGTGGGAACATCTACTCAAACTACAGTCTACCGCAACATGTGATGCTGAATGAGATAGTATTAGAGTGAAGGTTATAAACAGACAGCAAAAAAGTCACTACGTCTTAAATTAATGTATATGGCGTAAGAAATATAGGTAGGTAAAGACTCGCTGGATATGGTCCTTTAGGTATTAATAGCTAAAATCCAGATTTTATGGTTCGAAGTCTATTACAATGGTAGAAATGAGTTGAAATTTCGACTTTCTTTAGATCCAGGCATCTCTTTTCCAAGCTTTACTCTTCTTATTTATTCCAGCGTCTTACTGTTTTTATTAATTTTTTCTGTCTGCGCGACTGAAAAGTGACATCTTAAACCGGCAAGTCTGAGTTTAAATAATTGTCTGATTCTTAATAACTTATTTTTTAACAGGGTCAGGTTAGTTTAGAAGAGATTATTTGTTACCTCTGATAGACTAAGGTGGCTATTCACTTGTTGGTAGTGCATTACCAAACACTGAGTTGCAGAATCAAATCTTACTTAGGGATGGGTGGTTGGATAGTACCATTTATCCATATGAAGTGATATCCGAAGCTGCATACACAAATACATACTTTAATACTGAGTTATGCAGCTTGCTTTAGAAACGAATATTACGTCATGTACAAAACACGTGGGCCTCAATCGAAAAATTTCTTATCACCTAAAGGGAGAATTCCAACCACTAGGTTTATCTGGCAACTTAATACAACCCTGTGTAAAATAATAAATAAGAAGTTGTGTTCATACGATAAACTTAGTATAATTTATTTGCCATTTTTCTTAAGATGGAATTTCATAACTTTCTTCTACCGGAATTTGGTCTATTATCTAGTTATCATTATTTAGCTGAAGAATTGTGACATAAAAACCATACCGGGCAGAGACGCATGAATACACTTACAAGTTTTTGACATCAACCTTTATATGTCCTAACTCAGTCATTTCCCTCATTGACTGAACTTTGCACTTGACTAATTCGGTTGGGCAAAGAGTTAAACTCGACCAAAACGCAGCTATACTACCGGCAAGTGCATGCTGTAGTACTGAGAGATTACTATTATCCACTCCACAGAGACCGGCTATAAGATGTTCAGAAGGTGGGAGAGCACAGAATAACACCGCATTTTCAGCAATATTTGCAACGAGTGACGGGACAGTTCCTGCATAGAGCCCGCGAGCGATTCCATCCTTCGCAAGTGTAACTCGTAGACACTTCCATGTTGACGGGTGAACTTCCGGAAACGTTTGCATCTTGACTTTAATAGTATCCAATGGTTGTCCAACATATACTGAAGCAAATCCACCTACGACAAAAATCAATGAGGTTAGGCAAACTACCGTTGATCCCAGCAACCAAACCAATTAAGCTATTCTTCACTTGCTCCATGCTAATATAGTGACATCGATAACTAATGTCAAGATCAGAATGATTGAAGACAGTTTTATGGGGGTAGCGCCGAAATTCATAAGGTTTCAAGGAGAGATGTACAAAACTAAATACCGGTTTCCGTGATAACATAATAACTAACGTGAACTATTACGCTATCTGGTTTCTAAAAGTTACTCAACCAATTCGTGTTTTATCTTTAAACCACTAAATTTCCAGGGCGGGAACAATGAATGGATGGTCATATGTAATCTGTGTCTCAGTTGTTGAAGGGAATGTAAAGATTTTACAAATACATCACATGTTTGTAGGAAGCTAGTACAAATCGCTTGAGTTCTTATCTCTTGTGTTTTGCGTGAGTCACTGGACTCCAATAGTCCTTGTGGAGAAAGTTAACATAAATCTATTACGTAGTTAGTTTTCGTGGTTATTTGCATTTTTTTCATTACCTCTCATAATTTATACAACTGCCATTATTGGCTGTGAACTTGCTGTTTACTAAATAAGTGATAAAAAATTATACAAATATAATGAAGAGATACGCCGCTGCACATGTATACTTATTATTTTTTCGTTATCCAATGTTACGATAACAACACTCCGATATATATGCCGTCTGTGTCTGCAGATCACACGGACACCACGTGGTTACTCTGGGTACGTATCTCGGATAAAAGCGACCATTGTTGGCATTGCTAACTACTATGATTGTGGGTTACAAGATCAAAAAGAAACTTCAACACGCCTAACACTATTAATCTAAGTAATGTCCAGCACATTTCCTTTGCGTATAATCTATATTTTGCAAATTAACAAGTCAATTCTTTTGGTAACTTCATCACACTAACCAACGAAAACACATTTCAAACCAATATCTTATGTCTGGCGATAAAGATATTTCGACAAATTTCGCATACTTGCAAGCAGGTAAACAAGGCTGATGAGTTTTGGGAGATACATGAGACACTGAAATCACCGATTGCACAAGTAAATTCTGACCAGCTTCTAGATGATCTGCGTAACAAATCAAAACCCTCGCGTGTAAAACCTGTAGTGACCTACTTTTATGAAGAGAACGAGATTGCTATAATGGAAACAATTATTATTATAACCAGTTGTACGAGTGATTGTTTTACTTTACCTGTTGGTTTAAGTGTACTAAAAACACTTTCTTCCGTTGTCTGCAATCTTGCACGAACTCGCATACGCTCAGTAGTCCCGCTTGTAAACTTTGGCACGATCTCGGCATTATTTTGATACCACGAGATCACAAAAAATACATCTTACTACAACCTTCAATTACCTTCTGATATTTAGCCTAGGGAGGAATCTGACCTAGTAACTGGCACGTAGTCTTCTTGTAGTGGTGATCACAGTCAAACGCTACTCGATGCCTACTACACCTTTCTGCCGGTGTGAAGTCACAATTGCCTTGCCGAAAAATTTAAAACTGTGATGATAATTTTGCCTGATGATCTTAAACGAACTCCACAACCTGGGCTTGGTTGATCGAATACCGTCTTCAAATCCCGATACACTTCAATCGAAACGTTTCCTTTCCGTTCACAAAAAACCTGATAGATTTGTGATCAATTTCTACTTTTGACCCAGCACGTTTTTTTCTTCCAACTATTATTATCATCATAACTCTTCACTCGCCTTCCAGGTACTGTTCTGGAAGAGTTCTGAGGACAGAATTGAATTATTCTATCATATGTGAGACATATTTAGCTTACCTTGTCTGATTATTCCCCGAAATTGCTGAGGTACCTAGCGGTCATGGGGGTTGCCATCGTTTGTCGTGAACTCAAAACTTAACAAAGTCTCAGTCGGGTGGATCATTGTGATCTGTCCATTACGTGTGGGAGACGTTTCGGCCTATCACGCGTACCGCGATAACTGGTCTGTCGAGTTACTTTATTATTTTATTTTATTTTATTTGAACACATATATATTGGCACAGGAGTGCGCCAAATATATATGCGCCACACAAAGCAATGAGAATTTAAGAAGAAAAAGAAAAAAGTGGGGAACGCACAAAAAAAACAATAACGAAGAGATTGGTGTAAGGTAGTGTAATAATAACAGTAATAGTAGGGGAACAGAAGGGTACAATCAGAAGAAATCTTTCAGTTAAGGAAGATACAACCACGTCGTTCCTGTAACAACTATCGGGGATAAGTCTAATTCCGGTTGCGTCATACTTCGTAAGTTGTTCAATTAATTAATGAAGTCGAGTTACTTCATGAAAGCCAAATATTAATGTTCCAGAGAGAAAAACAAAGAAGCATGACAAGCTGTGAGGGCCGTTTTATGGATATTGTCACGTCTGATTCCTTGCGTGTAGTTAGCCCATGTGATATTCATATAACCTTAGATACAGGCATTTTGTTTGACTCTAGAAGCACGACCATATTTAACCTGTTATTATAATATTATATGATAATCATTAACCTAATATGCCAATTTTTAATCTGAATTCGTTGCTTTGATATGCACCGTACGCTGTGTGTCGTGGTCTATTTATGGATCATTGAATTAGATGAAAAACAGATGATCCAGCCACGTTTTGATCATAATATATCAGTTCAGCTGAATTACAGTGTTACTACACTTACTCGACAAAGTAACTGATTGAGTACTTAGACTAAGAATTAAGACATAAACAGACAAGTTATAAGGTTTTCAGTAAGGGTGACAGTTGTCACTTGCGGCTTAGCGACTGGATTTAATGAACAATCACACGGGATTAGGGACGCATGATTGACCGTTACTGTTGTTGTGCTAAAAAGAAAAAATAGCAAACTGTTTGTTGATGGACGATCTACTCACGTTTTTTACCTCTCGATGAGTGACATAGGCCGCCCACCAGCATTCTTCATCGAAATCTGTCTCAAACAATCCCTTACATTTGTTTACAGTTGCTGCTTATTGTTTCCGTGTCTGCCTCTGTTTTTGTGTCTTACCCCCTTTTCCGTTTCCCTTCGGGATGTCAGTTAAAGACATGCCCAGTGATGTAGCCTGACGGTTTCCTCAACCTATGTCTTATCCATCTCCAACGTCTTATCTTGATTACCTCTTCACTCGGAAGTTGGCTTGTCCTCCCCCACAGTAGGCTGTTGCTGACGGTATCCGTACAACGGATAGTGAGTATCTTGCAAAGAATATTGTTTATAAATGTTTGTACGTTTTCAGTGATGATTGTAGTTGTTTGTAGTAGCATTTTTTAACCACACGATCCTCGAAGCTGAACGTGAGATGACTGAATGAACTCATATCCAGCATTTAACATGGAGGGGTCAGAATGGTGAACATAATAATTGATCAGGATGACATGCAGGTGTGGTCACCTCATGTAGACCCATGTTTTATATTGAATACATTACTCTCTACTCGGCACAAACTATGCTCTTTATAAGTGGTAAACGTTAATTTACTGATTTCCGTGATAGTATATATATATATATTTATATCGAAAATACAAAATTCATCAAACGGTACAGCCTGAGTTATACCGTCAGGGGTTTCTCTAGCATAAACTGATGTGCTAAACAACAAAAGGGATAGGTAACAAACAAGAGTAAGATACCTGAGAATCAATAAAACTATTCACAATAGGTTGGGATCAAATATATATCCTCAAAGATTCCTGTAACTTGTCCAAGCTGACAGCCTTAGGTTAACAGCCATACACAGAGCCACGCCTTGACCTTGAGTTCAATCAAACATAAGTTTATTGTCAGTAGTCCGGCAACATGAAACAGTAAAATTAGGTAACAACGGGTAAGTTAATAACCAAAACCAAATGACGAAAGTCCTGAAAGGGAAGACTGAAGAACAGAATGTGTGGTTAAAAGGAGATTTGAATAAAGGTTATAGTACACGACAGGGATGAATGACGGTACTGCTCAATGAAATGTTTTAGAGTGATTTTCGGCGTTCTTTTCCGATACATTACGTATTATTTACTATCCTACAGCTTTTTTGCTGTCATTGCTTCTCCTTCCACGTATTTCTGCTTGTCGGCTCTAGTGCTCCTCCTCACATTCTTGGTGTTGCTGTATATTCGGCCTCTCTTGGCTTTCTCCGGAACTGTTTTGTTTGCCACACCTTTTCGAATCCTGCCAAGGGTATCGATGGACATCATGCTTCTTTAGGCCCAGAATTTCCTGAAACACTGGAAATTGTGTATACGATCATGTCCTAGTATGATAATATAACATTCATTTTTGATACTATAAGAATAAAGCTAATCCCAGAGTTGTAGACTTGTAATGATGTGATTACTTAATCTATAGGATCTTACGTGAAAGTCACACCATTGTCTACGCTGACTTGTCCTACGTAACAAACAGTAATGCCATATTCATCTTTGAGGATCGTGTGGTTAGAACCAATACCACTACAATACCTCACACAAAGAACTGTTCAGATGTACATAACGCCTCTCTCACCACAATCTCCAATTACTTTTTAATGAAAGCAGATCACCTTCTGACTTAAAAATTGTAGTAATGCCCTTACACATACAGGCAAGAAATATATTCAATAACATTGTTTTGTCTTAACCTCAACATAATGGGAGTCTAATGAATTGGCTAAGGTATTATCTTATGGGGCTAGGCTACTATGGAATTTATTCTGATTTACCCACTTTAAAATGCAAGCAGGAGTACTAAAAACTTTCATCACTGAACAACTTCCCTTCAAGTTTTTCTTAACGATCTACCTAGTGTTATTGATTCTAAAATTCGATATATATATATATTGATGGTCTTAGTATTTGGAGAGAGACTAAAGTCTGTCGACTATCGCTACTTTTCAAGGAGACTTGAGTGAGATATTTGGATATGTATATCACGAACGCATATGACCTGCGTTGAATAATTGGGGATCTACTTGAGTAAGACGATAATGGTCTGATCAATAACTAACTTCAATTTCAAACCTAACGCGGATCATCGCATCAAGGTACTATGGCTGCTTTGAAGACCATATAA